TGGCAGGCAGAGTGGTTAGGGGCAATCAGGCAGGCAGGCAGGCAGGTGAGTGGTTAGGAGCCAGCAGTCCCAGATTGTGAGAGGGATGTCTGACTGCCGGTTTAGGCCGGATCCCTGTAAACCGTCAGTAGGACATTTTTCGAGGGGTCCCAGTTTGGAGAGGGTGCAGGCCGGGCTGAGGGATACCCCCCCCTGCACGAATTTTGTGCACTGGGCCACTAGTATCTATATAATAAAGAGCCAGGGTTGTAACTACCGAAGGCTCGACCAGACTGGAAATCAGTGCTGGGTTTCCAGGGCAATGTAGCACTGACTAGGGCGCTGTAGGCACCCCGACCCAGCACTGACTGCCTAGGGGGCTGCAGATCAGGCCCGGAGAGAGGCCTGCAGAGAGAGAGAGGCAGGGTCTGATCCGTAGCCTCTGTGGTAGCCGTTGATCAGAACTTGCCTCTCTTTCTCTCCCAGCCTGGCCAACAGCCGCACCTCCATTTCTCTCTAGGCCTCCACCGGGGCTGCTGATGCCTTTCTGATCAGGCCCTGTGGATAGGCCCAGAGATGCTGACTGGAATAGAAACTGACCAATCAGAACCAAATCTGGGTGAATGTAAGGAGCCAATGGCTACATAGGAGGCAGAGCTTTTGACACTGACTGGCATAGAGACTGACCAATCAGAACCAAATCTGGGTCAACTGTGAGGAGCCAATGGCTGCCTAGAAGTTGGAGCTTTTGATGCTGACTGGCATAGAAACTGACCAATCAGAACCAAATTGGGAGGGCAGTTGGGGGTGAGATCAGGCCGGCAGGGGAGGGCAGTCAGGGGTGATCAGGTAGGCAGAGGCAGTTAGGGGCAATCAGACCGGCAAGGAAGGGCAGTTGGGGCGATCATGCAGGCAGAGGCAGTTAGGGGTGATCAGGCTAGCAGGGGAGAGCAGTTAGGGGCGATATCAGGCTTACAGGGGAGGGCAGTTGGGAGCAACCAGGCTGGCAGGGGAGGGCAGTTGGGGGCAAGATCAGGACGGCAGGGGAGGGCAGTTAGGGGTGATCAGGCAGGCAGAGGCAGTTGGGGGCTCGATCAGACCAGCAGGGGAGGGCAGTTAGGGGCGATCAGGCAGGCAGGTGAGTGGTTAGGAGCCAGTGGCCCAGATTGTGAGAGGGGTCCCCGATTGGAGTGGGTATAGGCTGGGCTGAGGGAACCCCCCTCCGTGCACGAATTTCATGCACTGGGCCTCTGGTGGTTATTACAACCAGATAACTTTCTTTGTAATTGTTATTCGCTGGTTGTGCATTTCTAATGATATACTCTATTTACTGTTTTATATTTGGGAGATACATTTGGGAAATATGTTAGTTTTATCAGACATAAATTTACAAATCACATCTTGAGGTTTGCAACTTTTAGAAATGGGTTGTTACAGACTTTTGAGTTAAAGTGTACAATTTAGCCTTGCCTGTGTGGCTCACTGGTTGAGTATTGACCTATGAACCAGGAGGTCAGGGTTTGATTTCAGGTCAGGGCACATACCTAGGTTTTGGACTCCATCCCCAGTGGGGGCAATCAGGAGGAAGCCAATCGGTAATTCTCTCTCATCACTGATGTTTCTCTCTCTCTCCCTCTCCCTTCCTCTCTGAAATCAATAAAAGTATTAAAAAAAGAATAAAGTGTACAATTTACTTTTGACAGTGTGTATTCCTATAAAATCTTTACTGCAATCAAGAGATGATTTCTATGATCCCTAAAATATTTTTAATGCCCTTTTATAGCCCATCCCTCCCTCTACCCCTAGCTTCAAGATATTTCTGATTTGCTTTGTATCACAAGAGGTTAGTTTGAACTTTATATATAAATGGAATCATACATTTGTCTCTGGCATCTGCCAGTCAGTATAATAATTTTTGTATTTATTCATGTTGAAGCCTGTATGAGTAATTATTTCCATTGCATAGATTAAACAATTTTTTTATCCATGAACCTATTGATAGGCATTGAATTCCTTCTGGTTTGGTGCTATTGTGTGAAAAAAGCTGCTATAAACATTCGTGTTCAAGTCTTTGTGTGAACATATATGTTTTAATTTCTCTTGGATAATAAGTACAAATATGTCAATGCAAGAAACGTCCATGGGGGACATTTGTAATAGTGTCAACAATAAAAATAAAATAAAACAATTTTTTAAAAAGGAAACATCCAAACTTGTAGAGAATCTTTATATGAATTTATTTGAGCCAAACTTAGGACAATTGCAGGGCAGCAAGATCTCAACTGTTCTGGAGAATGACAGTTTTGCAGTTTCTTTTATGGTATACATTTGGAATAGGGAGATGAGGTAAGAAAATTTACATGGAGGTGGGAGAAAGCAAAGCAGGAATTTGATTACAGGATAGTTATCAAGATTATGGGCTTTCTTGAGGGTGGTTGCTTCAGAGGGACTTGAAAAAAGATAAATACTCTGGCATTTCAAATGTGTTAATTTAGATGCCTAAGAACAACCGGGCAGGTCTTGCTTAAGGTGAAATAAACCTTTTACTAAAAAAGTGATATGCCTGGGGTGACTACTCACCATGACATGCCCATTTAGGAGTTTATGATCAGATCACCCTGTGTGGTTACTTTCTGCCACTGGACTTACTAGTTTTATTATAGAATTCCTTTATCATTCACAAATGGAATGGCTGGCTTGTGTGGCAGACGTGTGTTTAACTTTTTAAGAAATATTTTGTGAGAACTTACATATTCAACTCCTTCTGTATATCTGGGCTCAGATAAGGATACTAAATCCATCAATTTCTCTAGGTAAAAGGCAGGAAAAAAATCCTTATCCTCCCCAAACCTGGCTCACACACTTCCATATTTAATTGCTTATCAATTCCTTTGGGTTCCTAAAATAATTTCAACATCCTTCTTTCCATCTCTCCAGCCCTACTGATACCATCTCAGGGTATCTATTTTGTACCCAGTACTGTGCTAGGTATTGAGAGGGCACACAGTTAAAGGGGCAGCAAAATAGAGACCCCTCCTGTTGCCTCTGGAGACAGAGCTGAAGTGACCACAAGGAAAGACTATGCTGTGAAAACTCTTTGTGAGAAGTCTTGGGGCTGCATTCCATTTACTTGATTCACATGCTAGAGGAAATATTCCACCTTTGTTTGAGTGCTAGGTGTAGCTATTTACTTATTTTTAAAACAGGTGTGGCTGTTAAATGAAGAGGAAATGTTTTGTGAAATCTCAAAAAGGGGAGAAAGAAAACTTTTCTTTAGACTAGCAGTTCACAAAGCTTGGGAGGGGGACTAATAACAAGAGTTTTAAAAACGTTAGAAATGCAAATGTTGGGCCTCACTCTAGACCTACTGAGTGAAACTCCGGGTGTAGGATTTTTCCATTGATTTTCAGAGAGTGTAGAAGAGAGGGAAAGACAGAGCAAAATATCAATGCAAGAGAAACACATGAATTGGTTGCCTCCTGCACACCCCCTACTGGGGACGGAGCCTGCAACCTGGGCATGTGCCTTTGACCAGAATCGAACCTGGAACCTGCAGTCCGCAGGCCAACGCCTGAGCCAAACCGACAAGCCATCCAGGTGATTCTGATCGAAGCTCAAGTTTGAGAACCACTGTGCTAAGCTCATTCCAGGGATGTAGGTGGTTATCTTTAGGATGGGAGAAGCTTAAGTCCTGCGTAACTGGGCAGCAGGGTAACATTAGCGCAGCGCCAGGCCAATTCTCCCCCTCGCCTCTACCAGCACCCTCCGCTGAGCCCAAGCTCTTGGACTTGGGTGCTTTTCCCTGGGAGCCGTGGCCAAACCCTGGTAAGTGGATTCCGACTGGGCTGGCCTGGGTGCCGGACGGGCATGCGCAGACTGGCGAGCGCAGCAGAACAGCGAGAGCAGGGAGGTAGCGGCAGAACGGACCTGCGGGCGCGGCAGAACCAACGCGGTAGGTTTGGGTGCGCGGCGGTGGGGTACCAGGGGAGGGCTGGACACGTAGGCAGAAGACAAAGCCTCACTTTGTCGCTGGCTCACAGCGGCTAGCGGGGGTCTATCGGGGTTTCCCTCGCTCGCCTGGCGGCTCAGGCGCTCTCCTGCCCTTTTTGGACAGGCTGTAGCCGGCAGGTGTTACTGTGTGTTTATGCTGTTCACTCAGCCTGCGAACTGTGTTATGATTATCTGCATGAAGTTAGGTTTTTAGTTAACTTTGCTGTTTTCCTCTTTCTCTCAAACTTTGGGTGGATGGCTGCTGCTGAGGCTTTCAAATCCAGCCTGTTTCGCGTGAATTCTGTGACGGGTTTATGTGCCTTTGGACTTTTGGTGCATAGGATCAATAGGGCTGGAGTGAAATCGTATCCGCGGCTTCTGGTTTTGGTGCCTTTCCTGGAGCAGGGCGCTTCTGGGTGCGGCATTAAAAAAGTAAACTTCTAGCGAATTTCAGAGCCTAAAACGTTCTGTATTTTAGCAACATTTTTTATTTATTGATTTTAGAGACAGGAAGGGAGAGATTATTTATGCATTCATTGGTTGATTCTTGTATGTGCCACAACCTTAGCATACCCCAGGACACTCTAACCAGCTGAGCTACTTGTCCAGGGCTAGCTGTATTTTTAAGTGGAGACTCTAAAATTTAAAGACTTTACAGCCCCACCACTTACTTTTTTACATTACTGTTATTTCAGGCCTTATTTGGTGCTATTAAAAGGAAGTGGTCTTTTGAAAAAAGAAATACTTAATCATTTTTTAAAAATGCTTTAAAATATATTTTTTATTGATTTCAGAGAGGAAGGGAGAGGGAGAGAGAGATAGAAACATCAATGATGAGAGAGAATCATTGATAGGCTGCCTCTTGCTCTGTCCAGGCTCAATCACTGAGCCACCTGTCTGGGCAGGAAGTGGTGTTTTAGGTGAGTAACAGTTCTCACTTTTTTTCCTTTTCGTTACTTTGTCACATTTTGTGTCTCATACAGAGATATTTTACACTGAGGCTGCGGTATTGGTTACACTCCTACAAGGCTAAGGCTGTGCTGCACAAATTTCTTGGATAACCTATGAACCATAAACAAAAATTTAGACCATGGGGTACACACACACTGAATATTATTTAGGTTAAGTGTTAAATTTATGTTGGGGGTGTGTATTATATATATATATAATTAATAAGTTTAGGAAAAAGAAATTTTTAGTTCTGGAAGAGAAACCTATGTGGAAAGGAAATACAGATACCTGCCTTTCCCTTCACCCCCCGATGAAGAATGTTTTAATGGCAGAAATAATATATAGTTGGTTTAGTTTTAGACTGTAGAGACCTTCCAGGTCAGCTAGTTCAATTGCTTCAGTTTACAAATGAGAAAACTGAGACCGATGAGGTTAAATGACTTACCGTGGCTGCTGGAGCCCCTCCTTGGCAAAGCTGGGCCTGCGACCCAGGTTTTCTGATTTTCAGGGCTCTTTTTACCATCCCCCTGCTGATAACTCTCTTCACAGTTTAGATTGTTAAACATCTACATCTTTATACTGTGTAGTCTGGCTTAACCAGATAATTAATTATTCCTGCTACTCAACTTGCTAGTACCTTCTAAAGTTCTTTCAAAAAGCTTTCACCCAAGTCCCACCTAACTATTTGCTGGTCTTGAAACTGCCCTTCTTTCCTGTCTCAGTCACATTGGGCCAGACTACTTCCCTCCCTGAAGTCCTGCCCATACTGCCGGAATAGCTCAGGTGTGACCTCTTCTTAGAAGCTTCCCTTGATTACTGTGGCCAGAAAGTAGCTCTCCATGTTCTTAATCCTCTAGCATTTATTACTGTTTTCTGTGTTGCTAGAAGGCACCTCATCTTTAGATTTCTGAATTTTTGAATTTTAGCACAGTCCCAACTTCTTGACCAGTTCGTAAGCTCTTGGAGGTTAAAGTCTATGACTTAGATATCCCACCCAGCACGAAGTACAAATTTGTTTTCAGCCACTGTTTGTGAGAGGGAGGAAGTAAAGCACAAATAGTTTTTAAAGGAATTTGATGTGGATGTTGTGTAATATGGGAAGGCCACCTTAGAGCTATAGCAAGAGAGTTGTCAAGTCAAAACAGCTTGATGGGGTGATTCTCCTATTTTGATGGGAGATCACACATCAGTTAGGAAAGTGTTGGGGACAGAGGTTGCCCAACATAGAGGGGAGGGTTGCCCAAGGCCTGGATTTAAGCATGTCACTCCAAGTGCAGAGTGGAGAGCACAGATTTAAGAAATGGTGTAAAGGAAAAAGCATTTGGTAAAAGACTGGATGCAGAAAAGGAAAGACATCTTGAAAATTACTTTAGTTTCAGGCTTGGTATGTTGGTAATGGGTTGTAATGTTCTTTTTAAAAGTCCCTCCAATCATGACATTCCTTTTGTTTCTTACAGTTACTGGTGTGATTGTCTTATTTCCCATTCTAGATGATAAGTTCTTTGGGGGATGATCTTTAACGCCTCATAATGCCAGGCACAGTAGTTTAGTTGTTGCATGAGTAAATAAATGAAGAAATAGTGTATTTTGACAAGGAGAGGGTGGGCATTTAGGATCTTAGAGCTGTGAAGTATCACTTTATCCAAACCACTAACTAAGGTAGTTAGTGGTGTAACTGGAGCTTCTACTCAAGTTTCCTCATTACTAGCGCCATGCTTGTTTTGTTGACCCTTCCTTTTCAAGGTTGTTGACCCTAAGATGAAGTTGAAATGGCAGCAGGACACTCTAGCTTGAAATGTTTTGTGGATCTAAAGCCCTTGGAGAGCAATCTAAAGTGGGGAACTTGGTGGCCAATGGGTAGATGTCTGTCACTGGAAGATATGAGATAAGGGGTGACTGGCCAATTCAAGGTTGAGTGCACAGAGTGAGGAGGAGGCTGAGGCTGGGGTTTGGGGTATCTGCACTCGGAGTTGAGGAGGAGTCTGGAAAGGTCAGTGTAGCTTAACTTGTCAGGACAGAAGACATAAACAGATCTACCCAAAGTCCTTGGGCTGAGAGTGTATTTGGGAGAAACATTCCACACTACCAGGAAGTGGTGAGTGATAGCCATGTTGTTTATGACCCAGGAAAGTGGGGATAAGGTTGAGAGAGAGAGAGAGAATTGTGATCAGACTCTCTACCTGGAAGAACAAGACAGAAGGCAGTCCTTCAGAATCTCCAATCCCACTTTGGAATACTTGTGGGATTTTGCAAATCAAAACACAGCCTTTCCATTGAGCTGCACACAGCATTGAGGGAGCTGTTAGCACCTTCACAAGCAAGTTGATCACTGTCTTCAACTGCCAGTGCTGTGCTTGTCATAAAAATATTAAGAAGAGAGAGCAATTGAGGGGAGAGACACAGTTTCCTGGGGGGAAGTGAAGGGTTGAGCACGTATAGCGGGATTACTTTTTTTTTTAAATTACGACTTTAGTCAAAATTGATTGGACAGCCAAATGAAAATCAGGTGGTATGTTGAGGTTAATGTCTCATACATTTAAAAATGCCCAAATATTGAAATCTAGAGTTATATACTACAATCCTATGTAAAATAACTATATTATGTAACCTTTTCAAAATAAAGGTAATATTAGTAATTAGTATTATAGAATGTTTTCCATTACCAGTGTTCTGAACACTTTATAAGCAATATGCCATTTAGGCTTTACAAACCCTCCTGTGAAATTGGTGCAATTATTATTCCTGTTTTACAGATGAGAAAACTGAGGCTTAGATAAAAATCACATTTCTGAGGTCACACAGTTGACAATTGGCTGAGTTGAGCTTTGATCCCAACCCTGCCTGACTTCAGGCACTGAGAGCTTAAATAACTTAATCAAATATCTTAAAATGCAAAACTTTATTGGTGGCAACCCTAACAGATGCTTAGGCGTCCATTGAGAATGGTCACAGATTTTAGCTGGTGAAACTCTCACCATTCTATGAGCCAGACTTTAATCTGAGGAACAAACAACAATGATGAATCTTTCTGTTTTTTTTTTTTTTAAATTATTCGTAGTGGTCTTTATCTCCTTTATACTCTTGGAGCATTCCTAGAGGCAGAAACAGCACCATAAAGCTATTTCTGTTCTGCTCCCTCCTTTCAGGAGGAACTGGGGTGATAGAGGTTAGTTGATATTGATCCAGGAGATACCTCAGGGGTTGGCAGTGCTTGGGAAACCCTGCACATGAGCCTGAGGACGGCAGAGTGGCTCAGTTTGTAAGGACTTCCCCCCCCTGGGGTGGTGGAATCCACTGCTGGAAGCCTTGGAATATCTGTGAGTCTTGACCCTTCCCCTCATCTCAGGCCTGTGAACTGGTTAGAATCCCCAGGGAGAATCCAGACCCGAGCACCTTCTCCTGGGAGCCTAGAGATCAGGGAGCTCTGAAGTCAGTGTGGACTTGTTGCAGTTGGAAGTGTGTGTAGATACCTCAGGTAAGGCTCCTGTTCAGACACAAGTAATTTAGAGACAGGACTATCAGGCCCCAAATTTGACCAGTGAAATTAGCTGTGAGAAAATGCTAACCTCCCCCTCCCCACATGAACCTAATTAATCTCTTTTGAGAGTTTCAAAATGGAATCCAGCTGAAAGCATTCTTCCCCTCCCTGTGCTAGGTGAGCCTTCTTTCCATTACCTGCTTCTTCATCTTCTCCTGGGTAGGACCTGTGTTCAGATGTGAAAGGAAAGTACGCCTGCTTCTGACCTCTACCCATTACTCGTCTCGACATCCAAAAACTCATCACATCACCCAGCTCTTTCCCTGAACAAAGGTGTGAATCAACATTTTATTTTGGATCATGATAAAATCAGGGAGAAGGAGAAAGAGGCCTTTGTGCTCCATATAGGTTGATCAGTTATAAAATGGTTATACAATTTGATTGCTGGAAATTTTGCTGACATATAAATCACTTGAGATTTGAGGCTGTGTTAACTTTAATCATCTTATTTCTTTTCAGTACTGCTGTGTCTGAAAGTTCCTGTTTGCCTTTTTTTTGGTGAGAAACACATACCATGGCTTCTGTAAAAACAAGTTGCTTTTTAGTAATACTCTGCACACAGAAAGGGTGGGAATTAGAATGGTGATTAAAAGAGTTTTTCTTTTATTTAAACACTTGTTTCATGAGAAAGTATTTTATTTTCTAGTACACTTACAGATAACTTGCTCATAAAGCCCAGTTGTGAAGGGGACTTTAGACTTTATAATAAACTAAATTTGTATGGCTTACTCTTTTGAGCAATCCAGATCTATAAAACTATAAGAATATTGGGATAACTGACTGCATACAGATATGCTGCACAGAGGAAACATGAGAAACTGTCTTTGCTGATAGTAAGATAGATAAATGTCTTACTAAGGTGGAAGAAGTTTTGGGGGGGGCTTCTTTGTGATAAAAAGTAAAAGGTTTGGGGGGATGGTTTACCATAGAGACTCAAAATATTAGAGGAAATTAGATTTACTTTATTATTGAGAAACTCAATAAATTAAATTGTTTAAAGTTCCAGTCCCAGGAAATAACACATCTTTTATTAAAAAATGACAAAAGCTTCTTCAATTTGTTGGAGAACCAAGAAACACGAGAGCTTACCAGTGCTGTCAAAATAGAATTTGGATTGAATTTGAGTTTAAAACATTGGCAATTATGTATAGGAAGATTAGTCCTGTTAATTACACCTTGGGCCAAGGTCTACTTGTCTAAACCTTCTCCTCAACAATGAATTCCCATGTGGCACCCTCTGGACTGATGAATATATGAGTAAACCTATCCCCATGGATCACAATTGTAAAATCCAAAGTAATGCATGACAATCTAAAACTGGTGTTGATCAAGCAATTTGAATGCCTTAGAAAGTTCCAGCTTTATTCACATATTGTTTCCAAAGCTGGTGCTCAGACTCTAGGTTAAATTGTTGAAGTAAAAGAGAAGCAGGTTCAGAACTGACTCATTCACAGTGAATGATCAAAGGCACAAACAAGCAGACTTTGTCTCATTTCACTTTATCATCTTAAAGATATCTTTTATGGCTATATTGGTTTCTTTCTTTCTTTTGGCCCTCAATAATATATACTCACTGTGTACTTTTATAGAAAAAAATCAATGCAAACTAGAATTTTGAGGTTTGATAAATGAATCTCTGCTTATGGCTTTAATTAATGCCATTCATCAATAATTTGGCAGAAAGACAGTATCAAGTTAGTACATAATTGAACCTTTAGCTAGATATGAAGTTAGTACTTATAATCTTTGAGAACAAACCAACAATTCTCAAAGGCTCCTGTGTTTTTTCGCCTCAACAGCCTGTCAGCATTCTGTTATTGTGAAGTCTCTCTTTCTTTTCTCTCTCCTCAGCTTTCTGTTCACTGGGACACTCTTTTGGTCCAGGGGAATGTTTCTAAGAGTGGCCCAGTTCTTAAAGAGTTTAAGAATATTGCCATGGCCGGGTGGCTCAGTTAGTTGGAGCATCATCCTGTACACCAAAAAGTTACGGCTTCGATCCCCAGGAGGCAATTGAATGATGTTTCTCTCTCACATTGATGTTTCTCTCTCCCCCTCTCCCTTTCCCTCTCTCTAAAATCATTTTAGGAAAAAGCCATATCCTCAGGTAAGGATTTTTAAAAAAGTATTATTATCAGGTCAGTGAGGTGTCAACTGTGAAACTCAGTTCACAAAAACCCAATGATGTTTTTTAGAAAAAGTTGTCATGCTAATGAATTAATTTTGGAAAAATAATGGTAATAGCAATTTGCTTGATCCCTTTTTTTAAATCCCAAAACAGGCCACATAAAGCAGGATCACCATCAGTGGAAAGAAGTAACCTAAGAATCTTTGAATGTTTAGTGGTCAACCAAAGTGAGCTGCTTCCGATAATTTACAGTTCAGAGATCTGAGGTCATTTGGCCTATGATCAGGGCTGTGGATGGAAAGTCAAAGCCTGTGATTCTGTTTCTGACCCCACGAGAAGGGAGGCCTTCTCTTTAACTGCAGGTTTGATGATTAAACAAGACATTGGATGTGAAAGCAATTAGTAAACTGTAAGATAAGGAAGTAAGGTATTTAATATAGTTATAATAAATGTCTGACGTTGCTGTCTTTCACTGATAAGTGGCCAAGACTTTGAGAATGACTTGCCTGTTTGAGGTTACTTGGCTTGGAAGTGGTAGAGATGGGACTCACATTTGTGTCTTTTAATTTGACAGAATGTCAGAGCTCAGCATTGGGACCACAGTGAAGGCCTCCTAGACAGATCTAGGGTCCCTATCCTCATGGAACTTCAGTGTAGCCCCAAATCTAGTGCTCTTCCAATTAATCTACATTTTTGCTTTTACTGACCAGAGGGAATAATTGCTTGAAATTTATATTTGGTTTTTATAAAATCCTATATGTGTTTTCTGACTGTGGAGCTTTTTAAGTTACATCTCTGTTGCCATAGGTGCCTCCAATGATTGCTCCCTAAACTTCAGATTCACTTGACAGGATATTTATTAATTTCCACTGTGGAGAGAGGGGTTGGATGCCTCTCAGCATTCTTTTTGTTAATCAGAGGCTTGTTCCAGAAGAGTATTTTCTCTCTTCTACACAAAATCAAAGGGATGTGACTGAGTAAAGGGAACTGGGCTGGGGGCAGGGCTATAAGTGAGACATAGTCCTTGCACCCATGGGTTCTCAGTCAGATGGAGGACACAGGGATAGCCTGTGACATGAGTGGGCACCAGGTGGAAGCATGGAATGAAGCTTTGGGGGAGCATAAATGGAGAGTAGTTAATTCTGTTCAGTGGGTTGAGGAAGGTGTTAGGACTTTTGAGCTGAGCCTTGAAAGGAAAGTACAAGTTCAATATAGGGACTAGAGTAAGAACATTCCATGGGGGAAGAGACATCATGAACAAAATCGGGGAGACAGGGAAGAGCTGGCCCCTTCAGGAGATAATGTGTTCTAAAACCCGAGCATGATAAGAATCACCTGGAGATGTTGTTAAAGAACAGATTGCTGGGCTCCAACTCCAGGATTTCTCATTCTTTAGGTCTGGGGTGAGGCCAGAGAATTTCATCTTAGCCTGTTCCCAGGTGATGCTGAGGTTGTTGATCTGGGGACCACCTGGCTAGAATATAGCGGACAGATGATCTAGAAAAAAATTGTTTTCTTGAAACTTTACTGTCACAAAATTGATGGTTCAGGGTGGTTATTGTGGTTATTGTTTTGTTTGTTTAATGAGTATAATTTACCAAGTGGTTGCTGCCTTGTGCCACTTTTTGCAGTCTGGAAGTTTCTTATCTGGTTCTGTCTATACCACCACCCCCTGCCCCCCCTCCACACACACACCCTTCCTGGCTAGTTTTCCCAAGAAACCAGCCCTTTTCTTTTTCATGTTTTAAAGTAACTGCTGTTTAGCCAGTGTGACCATTCCACTCATGGAAAGCTGAGTAGCCAACATCAGTTGGATGATGTTAGGGGGTGACCTAAACCAATTATGAATTACTGGTGTACTCAAGGAGTATGTATTTGGTTTTTATTTTGTTAATTTGTGCATAATGTTAAACTTTTTCAACAAGTATGTTTGGAATGGCTAGAACTTACACAATTTCATAAAGTTCCTTCCCTGCCCTCAAAAAACATGTAGTCTTGTAGGAAGGTTAAATATGTATGAATTCATGGTTCCAGTACAGGGCAGCTGGTGCTGAAAGCAGTAAGAATGATAGAAACCAACTGTACTAGGAGGGAAGGTGGGGAAGGGTGGGTGGGTGTTAAAGAGATCAACCAAAGAACTTGTATGCATATATGTATAACCCATGGACACAGACAATAGGTTGGTGAAGGCATGGGATGGAGGACAGGGGTGGGGAGGGCTAGAAGAGGCTTTCAACAGTAAAAGTTTATTTTTAAGTTAAAAATAAAAGGAGTTATTAAGAACAAAAAAAAAAGAAAGAAACCAACTGTGACAGAACTGAGAAGGAAGGTTCACTTTCCAGTGGAACCATTATGGCAGAGTTTAGGGCATGATGATTTATGCTGTCTTCTGATGTTCTATGCCAGCGATTTTCAACCTTTCCATCTCATGGTACACATAAACTAATTACTAAAATTCTGCCACACACCAAAAAGCATATTACATTTTTTTGCCTATCTGACAAAAAAATAGGTATAATTTTGATTCATTCACACTGGACGACTATTGTGTTGGCTGTTGTCATATTTTTATTTGACAGTCGCAGTGGGTCTCAACCTTCCTAATGCCGCGACCCTTTAATACAATTCCTCATGTTGTGGTGACCCCCAACCATAAAATTATTTTCATTGCTACTTCATAACTGTAATTTTGCTACTGTTATGAATTGTAATGTAAATATCTGATATGCAGGATGTATTTTCAGGGGTCATGACTCACAGGTTGAGAACGCTGGCTAAGGGAAAAGAGGTCAGTGCCCCTGACTATAAATAGTCAGGTATTGCATGTTTTAAAAATTCTGCGGTACATTGAATGAAAACTGTTTTATGCATCTTTGTAAGCCCTCTGAAATGAGGGAGCATATGTCTATATGAAGAAAATAATAGGGGAGGGAGCATTTGAATTTGGCATTGAAGGACAGGCAGATGCTCACCAGGTAGAGAGTGGTCAATTGGGGGAGGCCTAGGAAGGGACATTCCAGACAAGGGGGCAACTGAACCTCAGAACAGAGGTACAGCAGGGAAGTGTACATGCAGCCATTGGTGAGGACTCTGGCTGGGAAGTACAGGGAGATAAGACTGGAAAAGGAAGATTGTGGGACATTTTGAA